TTGATCAGTACATAAGCAGTAACAAGTAGTGTACCTGTTATTCCTCAACTCTGTGGGCAGGTACTATTATTTCCTCCAATTTATTGTTGTGACATGGAGAGTTTAAGTAACTTGCTCACAGTCACCAAGTTGTGGATCCAGCACTTCAACTTAGCGTCTGTGCTCAAAACCACTGCCTCGCTTGTCCATCTGCTTTCTGCTGAACAGAACCTCGCCTGTCTGCTGTCAGCGTCTCTCCTGTTCTTTGGCGTGGCGGACTTCAGCCTTGTTATTTCTTTACTATGATTTTAGTGAGGTTTCAGGAGAGAGTGGAGATAAATGCGCAAGTTCTGTTTGCCATGTGTAACTAAAGATTGAAATCACTTGGCTGTAGGTGGCTGCCACAGTTGGTCACAGTGACTGACTGTCATTGTGACATTGGGATCCCACCGCCTTGCCTGGGCTTTTTCTTTTGGTAGAAATAGGGGTTTCATCATGTTCCTTAGGCTGGTCTTGAATTCCGGGCCTCAGTGATCCTCTACCTTGGCCTCTAGGTGTTAGGGTTCTAGGCACGAGCTCCCACGCCCAGCCTCCTGGCTGATTTCTGTGCTCTGACCCCAGTTGGACTTTCTGTAGCCAGAGGAGACTCAGAACGCCTTAGCTGATAGATGTCACCGCTGCCAAGTTACCGAGAGCTGTTGCTGATTGATGCTCAGCATCTATCTCTGGGGATGGGATTGGCCAGGTTTTAAAACGCAGAGCATGAAGGCATCAGATAAAGGAACCAGAACCGGCAATGTTTCACTGCGAGCAAAAAACTACACATGTGAAAGGCCAGAAAGATTAACACCAAAAAATGAATAGTGGATATTTTGGGTAAGCTGACCACAGTTGATGACGCTTCCTTCTTTCTGCTCATCTATTTTCCAGTTTTTCTATAGTGTATATATTATGTACCAAAATGTCTGATATTTAAAAACATTCACCCTACAGTATAGTTCAGCAGTTCTTCTTAGAAACACCTTAAAGCAATAATTCAAGATATGTGTAAAGATTTAGCCACAGGAATGTTCATTCCGGAAATGTTTATGCTAGCATTAAATTAGAAAACCGAAATGTATGAAGAGGAGCTTAAAGCTGGACTATGCAGCCATTAAAAATACTTAGTGAAATGCTGACACAGCGTTAGTATGTGGGGAAAGGAAGCTCAGAGTACTAAATAATCCCATTTTTAATAGATGCAGAGAATGAAGAGTTAAAAGATAAATACCGTAAGGTTGACAGTGGTTACTTCCGAGCCAGGGAGAAAGGATTCAAAGCTAATGCTTTGCCCTGGACGTGTCATTCCAGTCTGCACCCCCAACCCCCAAGAGCCCCAAGCACATCCACCTTGTTCTCTACCACGGTACAGAAAGGGGGCTGGGAAGAAGCAGCAAGAGGAAGGGGGGTGGGGGGACCCAAGATGTAGGTTCTTAGGTCAGATTCCCTGCAGGGATATCTCCTGAACACTGGGTGTTCAAGCAGGGTCTGAAATGAGATTTCTGGAAAATGCTTTTGTTGGCTTTGAAGAGTTAATCTAGATACTGCTGCCAGCTCTCCACAGTAGTAGTTTCTGTAATGTCCCAACAGCGCAAAGAATATTACCCGAAGTTAAAAAGGTTCTAAGGTAGGATTTTCAGAGAATAGGAAAAAAGTTTACACAGGAAAA